GTATGGGAGACTAACTTGAAATGTAAACTTCATTTAATTACAACACTAAAAAAGATTTAAAAAAAAAAAAAATCCCCGAAGTCATCTTAAAACCAAGAAATAGTTTAGCTTAACTAGTGAAAAAAAAGACCTGCCTTGAGCATTATGTTCTTTTAAGAACTATCTATATGGGATCAAACTGACAACAGCAAGCCTTAGGGGACAGCGAATTTATGTTAATTAGGGAGGAACAATTCAAAAAGGAGAGTGAGAATAGTTGCACAACTCAAAGAAGGTAATCAATGTCACTAAATTGTACATGTAGAAACTGTTGAGATGGTATATGTTTTACTGTGTATATTCCCAACAACAATAAAATAATTAAAATTTAGGGGAAAAAAAGGTTAGGAAGTTAAAAGAACTCCAAGAAATATTATATAAAAGGAACCAAATGGAATATATTTAATTAATTTATTTTTCCACATTAGGTTAAAGGGTAACTAGGATTAGCTGAAAATGTTTCTACACATTATAGAATTTAAGTCAGAGAAAACAGAGAACAATAAAAATGTTTTAACCTTATGCCCTAATCTACTTCTTAATTAAAATAACAATTCTTAAAAAACACATTACTCACTTTTTTTCCTGTCAGCAAGTTCACTGTGAAATATGTATGGCTGGAAGGGTTTCTCTTTTAACCTTAGGTCTCCTCTTAGGATTGGCCTAAATTAAATGAAAAAATGCCATAACATGCTTCACCCAACTTATCATTATCTTAGCTTGTATAATCCATGTTTTCCAGGCATAGTCAGTACATTATTGTAGAAGTACTTTCTCTACCTAAATGTACTATCAGGCAAATGAGAGCTACCCTCTGTCATCATTTTTTACCTATCAAATTAGCAAATATAAGAACTATGTCAGTAGGGATGTAAAAAAAAAAAAAGTGCTCTCAAACTGCAAAAAACTCTTTGACTCAGCAATTCCACTTCTAAATTTATTCCACAAAATGACACAACAGACAATAGTATTAACAAACAATAATTCACAAATTGATACATAAGTAGATAAGTAAGCCAAGAAGTGTAGGAAGGTATAAAGGAACACACCCATCTGCAGATATAGGTTTGGTGGTGGATATTTCATACATAACTGTAGGTGCTGCTTATATATTAATACAGACAAAGAGCACACAAGGGCCACAGTCAGAGGCAACTTCTCAGACATAACCAAATACCTCGTGGGACCAAGTTCCTAAGCTCAAAGGCAAAGAATCATAGACTCAGGGGACATCTACGTTAACTGGCATAACCTATTTCATGAAGATGAAGTTCTGCATCCTACTCTGGTAAGTAGTATCTGGGGTCTTAAAAGAGACAACTATTGGTCTCTTATCATCTGAAGCAAAGGAGGGTGACAAAAACCAAAGATTCCAGGGAACAATTAGTCCAAAGGACTAATGGACCACATGAACCACAGCCTACATGACCCTGAGACCAGAAGAACTAGATGGTACCTGGTTACCACTACCGACTGCTCAGACTGGGATCACAACAGAGGGTCCTGGACAGAGTGGGAGAAAAAGTGTATCAAAAAAATCAAATTCACAAAAAAGACCAGATTTACTGGTCTAACAGAGACTGCAAGAATCCCAAGACTATGGCCCTAAGACACCCTTCTGAACTGGAACTGAAGCCATTCCCAGAAACCACTTTTCAGCCAAACAACAGACAGGCCCATGATATAAACACCCAAGAGGAACAGCTCCTTACAACAATCAATTATACGAGATCAAAAGGGTAACATGTGCCCAAAAGCAAAGATGAGAAGGCAAGAAGGGGTAGAAAACCAGGACAAAAGGAAACAGAACCTAGGGTGGCAAGGGGGAGAGTGCTGACACATTGTGAGGAATGAAACCAATGTTATGGAACACTTTATGTACAAACTATCAAATGGGAAACAAATTTGCTCTGTAAATTTTCACCTAATGTACAATACTAAACAATTTTTTTTTAAACCCACTGCAACACTGTTTATAATAGGAAAAAACAGAAAATAGTCTCAGTGTCTATCAATACTGGACTGGGACTGGTTAAATAAATTATGGTACATATACATCATGGAATATCATGCAACTGTAAAAGCAAACAAACAAAATGAAAAACCTCTTTGCAGCAGAGATGGATGCTCCTCTATGTCTAATATCCTCTTCTTCCATAGAAATAAATTTTTAAGTTGGGCATCATGGCCACCCAGAATAAAGACTGCACTGCCTGCCCAACCTCCCTTGCATTCATATGGGACCATGACACTAAGTTCTGGCCTATGAAATATAAGTGGAAGTATTGTGAAGTGGTAGCTTCTAAAACTTTCTTTTTAAAAAGCTGGCATGTAACCTTTGCCCCTTCCTCATTCCATTACTCAGAATGTGTTGCAATAACTGGCATTCCATCTAGGTGAATGAGGATATGGGCAAGACATAGCAGAGCACTAATAGTATAGCAAAGAGCCCAGATAAATTAGAACAGTAGGAGCAGGAAAATAGGAGATGAGGATAAACTGGATGGTTCTCTACCTTTACTGGGGCACTTGTTATACCACATACACAATTGTCAAAAATCATTGAACTGTCTGTTTAATATGTGTATTTTACTGTATGTAATTTCGTGAAATGTAGATGACACAACCTTGCCTGCTGAGAGTAAAGAGGACTTGAAGTATTTACTGATGAAGATCAAAGGCTACAGCCTTCAGTATGGATTACACCTTAACATAAAGAAAGCAAAAATCCTCACAACTGGACCAATAAGCAACATCATGATAAACAGAGAAAAGACTGAAGTTTTCAAGGACTTCATTTTACTTAGAGCCACAATCAACACCCATGGAAACAGCAGTCAAGATATCAAACGACATACTGCATTGGGCAAATCTGCTGCAAAACACCTCTTTAAAGTGTTAAAAAGCAAAGATGTCACCTTGAGGACTAAGGTGCACCTGACCCAAGCCATGGTATTTTCAGTCACTTCATATGTACACAAAACCTAGAAAATGAATAAGGAAGACCGAAGGAGAACTGATGCCTTTGAATTATGGTATTAGTGAAGAATATTGAATATGCCATGGACTGCCCGAAGAAAGAACAAATCTGTCTTGGAAGACGTACAGCCAGAATGCTCCTTAGAAGTGAGGATGGTGACACTTGTCTCACATACTTTGGACATATTCTCAGGAGGGACCAGTCCCTGTAGGATATCATACTTGGTAGAGGTCAGCAAAAGAGAGGAGGACCCTCAACGAGGTGGAATGACACAGTGGCTGTGACAATGGGCTCAAACATAGCATCGATTGTGAGGATGGTGCAGGACTGAGCAGTGTTTCATTCTGTCGTACACAGGGTCGCTATGAGTTAGAACCAACTCAACGGAATCTAACAGCAACAACAAATTATGCCTCAATATAAAAAGAGAGAGAACAAGTAACACCATGGATGCTATACCAGCCCTAGACCACCTAACTGAACTTTTATGAGAGTCACAGTGACAGTTAGAGAGAGAAATACTTTTTTCTTGATTAAGCCTTGTTAGGTTTTCATTCACTAATACATTCTCATATACCAGTAGGTAAAGAATGACAAAATCTACCATTGAGTTAAAAGAGCAAAATAACAGTATGTAGAGTATACTATCATTTATGTTTTTAAAAAGGTAGACAGAATATATAATGGAAAAATATATAAGAACGTAGTAACACTGGATGCCTCCACAGAGGGGAAAAGATGAGTCCAAGGGACTGGACAGGAAAGAAAACTCACTTTTTGTTACCTTTTGCATTTTGAACCATATGAACTCACTGAGCCAAAAGATAAATGTTCTTTATCCTATTAAATATTCAGTTTAATTTTTTTTTTAATTTGGGAACATGCAGATTTTTATGAGTGGAAAATTTATATTAGAATTTAGTCTAAAGATTATCCCACACTGAACTAATTACCATGAGAACCAGCATATACAAAAATGACAAAAGAATCAAAAATGCTGGAAAGGGAGAGGGGGAAAGAGTGCTCAGAACTCTTCTTTTGAGGGAAAGGGCAAGAAAATGTTTGAACCAATAAGACGAGAACATTGAGGGTCATTTTGCTGCCGGAAATAGACACTACATACCTTTAAATTTCACAGTATCTGCTCTCAGTGACAAAATGAACAAAAGCAGTTAACTAAATCACAAAAGTCAACAAACCTTTTCTCTGATTAGCAGACAGAATAATACAAAAGGTTCTTTCTTGCTAGAGGAATACAGACTCTAAAGAGTTACAATTAGGGACATTTAAAAGTCTATAAATCTGATTAGAAATTAAAATAAGGATTTCTAAGAAATGATCAAACTGACCTTAGGTGGTCTCCTTTCTTCAACACTATTTTAGAATACGCATATATAAACCCTATTACTTCTTTCATGACATAAACAATGTAACAAAAAAAGTTACTCAAAATCTAACTACCTTTAGCTAAACCACTCTAATTCTGTCAGTAGTCCAAGTCTTGGCATATATATACATACGTATTTTTGCATAGCTCCAATTAGTGCATATAATTTTACATTCCATTTTCACTTATTTGTTTCTACATAGTGATTATAATTAAATTGCACAAAATAAAAAATGTTCCTTTACTTTAGAAATACTGGTAAAATTTTGGATTTTCATTTTTAAACGGTAACTCGGTAAGAAAGCCTCATTTCTCACATCAGTGGCAGAAGGTGGCTATCTGGTCATAAGACCAAGGTAGGAGCCACCAACTGTCTAGTAACTCATCCCAATTACAAGCAACTTCTTAATCAATAAATATGTAAATTTAAACCCATAAAGTAAAAAAATTTACGCTCACTGGTTTACAAAAATCACTAACCCTTTAGAAATTTCTAGTACCTACAAAAATCACTAATCCTTTAGAAAGTCCTAGTACCTAGTTTGGAAATTTGTTTTTGGACTTCTGGAACACACACAGATATACAAAAAAATCACTAACCCCTACAAAGTACATGCTTTTGAGGGCAAAGACTACATTTTCCAATACAGTTCTTTGTGTTATCCTAGAAAGCAGAATTTCAGTAACACAGACTAAAAGGAAATTCAAATACAGAAGGCTCAAAGGAGGCACTCGAAGTTTGCTGAATGAGTTAAACGGTAGCAAAGTTTAGAAACAAATATAATACAGTTGTTGTTGTTAGGTGCCATCAAGTTGGTTCCAACTCTTAGCAACCCTATAGGACAGAGGAGAACTGCCCACAGGGTTTCCAAGGAGCAGCTGGTGAATTTGAACTGCCAGCCTTTTGGTTAGCAGCCGAGCTCTTAATCATTACACCTTCAGGGCATAGAGAAATATAACTGAAATTAAACTTCATTTCTCTAAATAAGATACCTACACTGTAACCATACAATATACCAATTAGGTGCCATCAAGTTGATTCCGATTCATGATGACCCCATATGTTGTCAGAGAAGAACTGTGCTCTGTGAGGTTTTCAATGGCTAATTTTTCAAATGGCAAATTTCTTAAAGAAAAAAAATAATTCCTCCGAGGTACACTAACTTGACATAGTTTTTTTCTAAAGGGGAAAAGAAACAGAAGGTTTTTGTCTGCCAAGAACATTAAATTTAATTCACACTGAATCGTCAAGAATGGTATCACTGTTACTTTAAAAAACCAATAAGACCAACATGCTTTGTAAGTGGTAATGTAAGAAGTTACAGTCATTTTTCCAAAATTGGGAAGGGGAAAAAGTAGAGACTAATTTTCTCCTAAATTCTCCTAAGATACCAACTTGGGAGGGGAAAAAATGGATCAATCAAATTAATTTCATACAGTACTCTCCAAGACAACTAGAATAACAGTATAAACACAAGGATGGGGTAACTCAAAAATTCGATTCTAACAAATTTTGGCTGACCATCTAAAGGTAGAGTGCATTCTTCATTCTACAGGAAACAAAGATTATTAACTGTCAGACCAGCCCTTAAGGGACTTACTCAAGAGCCCAAAGCCTTAAGACCTTTTAACAAATTCCCAATGGATTATGAGACTGTGGTCAAGAGGTAATATGTACTTAAATCAGAGCCATTTAACATGAAAAAAGATTCAAGTGTTTGATTAAAGGGATGCCTGGAAACACTGGGAACACATGAAAAGAAACCTTTAATAATATAAAACTAATATTTTAGTCGAACAAATGCGTTGTCCTCATTTTAATCTCCAAAATTAACTATATTAACTGTATCCTTTAAGGAGGTATGCTCCCCTTCTTTACGTGTCCCTTAAAAAAAGAGAACATCCCATGAAAATTTCACTAAAAGAACAATTCTTAAAAGAAGTTTACAACTACCACTGTCTACTGAAACAGGAGAGTTAAAATTCATGCAGACACACAAAGATCCACAGAATCAAAACAAAAAAAACCCACACACACAGTAGGAACCAAGGTGATTTTTCTGTAACATATACAAGAATATTTTAGGTAACTGAGAACACTAATAA